TTACCTCAATAGGTGATAATCTTATTATTAAAATTGTAATTGTACCTATAAACGTAGTAACCTTACCTCTCCATTATAACCTCACTCCTAAAGGTTATCTCTTTGCCACTCATAACCATAATTTAACCTTTATGCATTGTGACTCTCTCTCACTTGTAAACCCACTAGTACAAATTGTAATATTTCGTACAAAATTGTAACTTTACTTTTAATGCCCATAACATTAAATCTTAAGATCAATCTTTATTGTGTATGATCGATCCTAATTCCCCATAGGAAAGACGCTCCCCCAGTAAAGTTTTAACATAAGTACAAAGAAAAAAAGTAAATTAGATCGATCATGTGCATGTCTGATTGATCTTAATTTTCCTTAGATAATTTTTTTTTTCGGAAGGTGAAAATAAAAAAAAACATAATTTCAATAGAATACAGAACTAAAATTTTGAAAAAAAAAAATATATCGAACTAGGATCAATCATGTGTATGTCCAATCGATCTTAATTTTCTTTACATAATTTCAATAGAATATAGAACTAAAATTTTGAACAAAAAAAAATAACAAAAAAATAGTAAAAAAAAAAATTAATTGAGTTGAATCGCAAAAAAAATTAATAATAAAAAAAATTTGGCATTGGGATAGATCCAAGATAATCATAATAGATCTTAATTGAGTAGACTAGCCAAAATAAACAATAAAAATTTGGCATTGAGATAGATTCTAGATAATCATGATAAATCTTAATCGAGTAGAATAGCAAAAAAAAAAAATTGGCATTGAGATAGAGCNAAATTATTGATTCCGTTTAAAAGTCGTTGTTGTCACTTTTATAAGAACTCAATCTGACTTTCTCATCGATCTGACTTTTTCCCCTTTGGGGGAAAGTATATGGTACTGAACAGTAGTTTTTCAGTACCGTACCGCCTGATTTGTGGTGGGCTAAAGCGGTTTTGTAGTGGGNAGTAGAATAGCAAAAAAAAAAAATTGGCATTGAGATAGAGCCTAAATAATCATGATAGATCTTAATTGAGTGGAATGACAGAAAAAAAAAAAAAATTGGCATCAGGATCGATCTTTAATTAATCATGATCGATTATAACAATTAAATGTAACATTAGTAATTGCAAAGACAAAATTAATACCTTTGAAAGTGAGGTTATAACTATTTAGATAAGGTTACAATAATTAAAGTGAAATTACAATCTTGGAAAATTAGGTTATTATTTTTAGATGTGAAATTATAACTATTTAACGTTAAGTTACAAGTAATAATAGTAAAAGTACCACCTAGATGTGGATGAGATTACTCACTTTTTTTTAATTCACCATATTTTTATTCACCATAGCCCACCACAAAACCGCCTCAGCGCACCACAAAACCAGGCGGTACGGTACCGAAAAATCATTATTCGGTACCATAGACTCTCCCCCTCTCTGGTGTATTCTGAATAAATTATTTATTCTTCTTACATTGATATTATTTTATTTCAATTTGCTTTTGAGAAATAGTGTCCAGCCATTGACTTTTTCCTTTTTCTTGTAAAAAATGGTGCCAACTTGTGAGTTGGTAGCCTTCCACTCTCCTTCTTCTTCTTCTGCAGCTGCTGCTTCTCACTAAATAACGTTGTTTGACTCTCTCTCTCTCTCTCTCTCTCTCTCTCTCTCTCCATCCATAACTGCAGATTTAAGCTTAAATGGAGTGCGGTCATTTAGCGCTTTGGGGGTATTCGTAATGGGTGATGCAGGCGAGCTTTCATTTGGGTAATTTTCCTGCTTATAGATGTGTAAAATTTGAACCTTTTTATTTATTTATCAGGTTCTTCCATGAACTTGATGTTTCTAATACCATGATATTGATCCCATACGTCTATTGTGACTATTAATTGGATATGCATTTTTGTGTCCCTATATATATATATATATATATATATAT